TCTACGTTAAGAGGTCTTTTGATATTAGGCAGGGCGGCACGATAAAAATATTTAAAATTGATTTCTTTTTCTACATTATATTATGTAATCAGGTATTTTGTATACTGTAGATGAATGGCCAGTCAATTAATCTACTTTTATGAGTTTTTTAAGGGACCAGGGAAGATAATCTGTACAGGGTAGAGACATGAAGGCCAGGGCAGGATTTGCTTGGTGTAAACAATTCAAAATTAAATCCATGTTGCTGTGCTTTACACACAAGCAAGTGTTACGTTTGTCGTACCGTGACTGGACAACCCAAAACGGACGAAACTTGCAGAAAAGTGCATAGGAAATTTTAATGTCGTTTTTTTTTATGAAAAGCTTGTATAAGTTTATTAAAGTGTCCAACATAACTCTCTTCTGTTTTCTTACCCCTTGTTTTGTTACAACGTCTTTTTTACTAGCACACACTCTACTGTTTGAATCTTCGTCCATGAAAATTTCTATAGTTTTTCTCAAAGTTATCGATTTTCTTGTGCTTCGTTTTACTTCTAAGTTAATTTAGTTTTTCTTTTCTTAATAGGTTTTAATATCTTGTCTCCTTCTAAAACTCCATATTTTGAAACCAGTTTTCCACTTATCATTCTCTGAAACAGTCTTTGCTCTTTTTGAGTCGTAAGATCCGAAAAATTATCTCTTAATTGTTAAGAAAGAACTTCTAAACATAATATTTTTTTCTTGACAGTATCTCTCGATTTTGGTGAATTAAGTAATGCGCTTACCCTTGTACCTGGACTTTTCTCTATCTCCATATTATTTTGTCCTTTGGATCTCTGAAGCCTTTTTTTGTAACATTGTATTGTTGATTTAAGCTGAGCGATTTGAGCTACCTGTTTTTTTATTAATATATTTCTTGCTCGCCTTGCCTGGATCGATCTTCGTTGTCCAGCTTCCGCTCGTTGATTAATATTTTCATTAGGAGGAACTTCGTCGTCTGGAGTAGGTAGGGTAGCAGGAGCATTTCCAGTATGTTGAAGAGCTAAACGTCGTCTCCGCTGTTTTGCCTTTTCTCTCCATATCTTTCTGGCTTTTCATCGTTCTCTGGGTGTCATTTGGTTTACAGTCTTAATAATTCCCTTCTCTTTTTTTCTTTCATATTACTTCTTTTCCTTTTCCTTCTGTTGAGAATATCTTTCGGGATCATTTTTTATGCATTGGTATCTCAATCGTTCTGCCAGATGCTTCTTTTCAAGACGTTCCTCACGAGTTAGTTTCTTTCGAGGAGGCATGATCTAAAGAAATGAAAAAACTTATTCAAACATTTTAGAAATCAATTTAAATAATTGCTACGTAGTAGAAGACTAACGTAAAACCAAATTCATATACTAATAAAAATATATGAATACTAAGAAAGCAGTAATATCTCACTTCCTTATCTACCCTGGATGTAAAGTCTCTACCCTGGCATCTCATGGAGCAGGGGAAATACGGCAGGGAAGAGACGTTTTCATGAAAAAACTAAAATTAATCAGGATAAAATATGTTGTAACGAAAAAAACAAATGAACACGGTAAACTAAGCTTAAATTAAAGTAAATAAATAATATCAATAGACTTTAAATGTAAATAAGAAATGAATAAAACTTACCAGTGGAGATACTGCAATCACTGACACGTCCGTGTAAGCCGAGTGGTGTGATCAAATTATCTGCCAATGAAAGCGCGTGGATGGCGTTCGCGGCGTTTATTAATAACTTAACTTTAAAACAAATGCTCTGCCTATTGAAATTTGAAGCGTCAACGTATTTTTGCGGCATTTATAACGGACGAAAAATAGGCAGGGGAGGAGACTTAATATATGAGGGACAAAAAGTGATATTTTTTTTAAATAGAAAATTAAAGTAATTTGAGAGTTTTTTTACATATTCATTATTGTTAATTATACTATTTTTTGTAAAAAATAACGCTTAGATTTTAAATGAATTAGTAATACGTTAAATTTGGAAGAGTTTGTTACAGAATAGTAAAGAGACAGGCCAGGGTAGATACTTTCTTCTAGGTCAACATGAAATTATAGCTAAACTAAGTTAATTCAGATACTGTAATTCATTGGTAAAAAAGTATGCTTTATTTATTATTAAATATGACTGAGGATTTCCGCGAATTTTCAAATTATGTATGATTTTTTCATGTAGCCGTCGATAGTACCTCTTAACGTAGAACTATCCATATTGCTTATACGAGTACAAACCTAAAGGAACTTATTTAAATAGGTAAAAGGAAGGGAAATGATATATGTAGATATTATATAGTTATATATTATAAATAAGTTAGAGCATTTTATTCACTCTAATTGTAACATAAAAGTTAAGCAGTCTCATTTAAAATAAAATAAAGAGAAACATTATGTTCTGAAAAAAAAAAGAACATTATAGAATAATTTTTGATTTATTTTTATGAATTCCTGTTTCACTTTGAATGTATGAGATTTTAAATGATTTTTGTATGTGAAATAGATTAGATTTATCAGAACAAAAAATCAACTAATCACTTTTTGATTTTAGTATATATTTCCTTTGAATACATCTATGAATTTCTTTGTTTATATGTATATTAAGTGCAACAAATTTTACTGGTAAAATTATTCTATCGTTTAAAAATATAAATGACATTTCATATGGACTATTGAAATTAGTAATTAAAGAATGACGCATTAGTATACAAAAATCGCACCTTTAGAAAATATGCGATATATTTTATTTATGCGACTGTTGTATGAATAAATAATAAACTGTTTAATTTCTCAATGCCAACAATAACATTAAGAAACAACGTGTTTCAAAATGTTTCAATTTATTTTATTTTATTTGAAATATGCCCTAAATTTATTTATATTTCGACGGTTTAAAATAGTATATCTGTACTGAAATTTGTAACATTAATTCCAAATATATTGAAATAAGTACATGCGTTTCGAATACAAAGACAAAAACAATACATTCTTTTTATAATATACAGTATTCAATGTAAATACTATTGTATAGAAATTATTATGCTACATAACATATGTGTGTGTATATTTTATTCAGATTAATTTAATTTATCAAAGTCTGTTTTTATTGGATCGATGGAAGCCATTTTTACACAATATCCACTATCCTTGGCCTGTTACTATGTTGGGTTACACAGCTGAGTTTTATTTATGAATAAAATTACTTCATATCTCCCAACAGATGGCGTTTTCTTCGTTTTTTCGTTTGAAATGTATTCAACATTACGGTATTAACAACATAAACATAAAAATTGCATAACATAAATATAATAAAATGAAAAATTTGAAAATAATGATTATTTTCTAATTTACAATGTCTTGTTTTGCAACAAATTTTTGCGCTTCGGTAATCCCCATACACTTTTCCTCTTCGATATGCAAGAAGGTCTTTCAAATATTATAATTATAAAGATAAAACATAATTATCCCTTTGTTTGTAACATTTACTTTGTTATTAAGTTATTGTATTAGGTTACAACATTCTTAAGGCTTCCGGTTTTGCGGTTATAATGCTATACCTTGTTTTTTTTTTACTATTAATCGCATATTTAAAATATTCCTTATAGAAATTATTTTATTTAATGTCGATAATGGCACCCAGATTAAACTTTCTCCGTTAAAATACAACCGGTATGACGAATCGCGGTATCGTTGCCAGATAAGGCTTTCAATTTCGTTTCGTTGCTAACATTCGGTAAAGGATCAACCGGTTATCCAGAGGTTGCTAAACTTTGCCGAAAGCTTTTTTTATTTTTCTCTCGGAACTTGTTTGTATGTGCTTTTTTTTTTGGTCGGTAATTCAAAATCACGCCGGTTCATTTCACGACAACACAACTGCACCCTCTACAGACGTGTGCAGCGTTTATAACAGTTTTTATAATATATTCGGCGTACATATATGAAAAAAACATGGACTATTTGTTGAATTTCTTTACGACGTGCAAGGTAATTAATTCTTATTGGTATTTTAGTTTATATGCTATAGAACTGTTCACTTTTTATCCGTTTTTGTCATCGTGAAGGTTTTTTGAGATTACTTGGCGCACCGCCAAGTACGAATGCCTACATCATTCGACATATTTTGTCATACAAATAAAACCACTGATGTATTTTTCTTTGTATCTAGTAAAGAGAAATTTTGTTTATGCTTTAAATTCGGTTTTTGCTATTAGTTTCATGGGCTACTAAATTTATTGATAAAAAAAATAACGGAAAATTCCATATGTTGTTAAAATGATCTCGTGGTTTCGTTGATTTGGAATAAAAATTTTGGGTGTAAATATTTTTCTAGTGTCACATATTTTACAGCAGCAATTTGTTTGTTTTTATTTATTGCTTTACAGATTTATCTCAGCTAAAATACGGGATATTTCGTGTGTTTTCAAAGTATAACATAAAAAAAATTCTATATTATGATCAGATTACGTAATTGGCCTTTGTTGTTGTAAAAAATGACCATTAAATATATGAAGAGAAAGTTAAGATTTCTTGCAGTTTTTTCTATTGACCGTGAACTTGTTCCCCAAGCCATTCTATTTGCCAAGCTCAAGGCTATTTACTCTCTGATGAACATAAAAACTATGTTCATGCTTTTTGGACTGCGTAGTAAAAATTATCATAATTCTTAAACCAGAAGTGTTTTGTTAGGTTATGTAAACGGCCGCCAATTTTATTTATTTATTTGGCTTCCATAAATTTCCTGAACTGCCAATGCTTAAGTATTTTTCGCTGTTACTGGATTTTATTAACGAATTCATTGAACGTAGTGTAAACATAGTAGGAATTATGTATGAATAAAATAATTTATCCTAGCACACTTTTGTTGGATAGATATGTCTTAAGTTATATTTACAATATATAACATGAACGGATTTGTATCCACTAACTCTAGTATATTTTACCGCCATTATAACAACTCAGCCATTGTGACCCAAGTAGCAAGTATTAATTATCGTTATTTCTTACAGAGGGATGACAGTTCTCTACTAGCGCAGTTCTTCTTTGCCGATGACGCGCTTAATTTGATAGCTGCTGAGTTGGACTCTTTCGATGGTCGAAAGGACCCAGAGAGATGTTCTACTCTCGTGAACCAACTACGTCATGCACAGGTTAGTCAACAAATACACTAGCACGCTCAGTAACAGATGTTTCGAAATCATTCAGCGTTAAATATGACTTCATAATTAATTGAATAATAAAAATGTTCACATTTAAGTTAGCAAGACCATTTTGTTCTTTTCATTATAAACAATAAAGGATAGATTCAATTAATCGAATTAACATACATATTACATAAACATCCAGTATCCATATTCATATTCCGTGTTGCGTGTTATAAACGCAAAACGAAACCGTCTCGCAACACTACCATTAAAGGTCTGACATTCACAAAACTTACACATACGTACAACGGTTTAAATTTTGTATGACCAAAACATTTATATAAATTAATTCAATTATAAATCGTTTATAATGTTTATCGTTTTATATTAAGAAATATGCAAGTTTTGATACTTTTTCGTGTAATTCCTTTTAAATTAATAAGAACCGTGACACACCTGGCGACATCTGGCGTCATGTTATTGACCTTCAAAGCAGCTGAGAAGTGAATATTTTGATGTGAATGTTTATACGCCTTTTGTAACTTTCAACTCAAACGACTATAGCTATGCGCACCTTTGATAGATTGAGAAAATTATTAGAAATACATTTGTCGTGCTACATAACATTAAAAAATATATCATTATTCCTGAATATTCATTTTTTATAGTTATATTAAAAAACTTATAAAAAAGTCTTCTAAAAAGCTATAATGAACTGTGGTTAAAAGAATTACTATAAGACTAGCTTGTAATTCTAAAATTATAATTGAATTTATAAAATATAGGCAGGTTCGGCTTTTGTTCGTATCGATGAATTTTTCATCCTACATTTTTTTAACACAAATTTTAATTTATATTTACACAGATTCAAACACAAACGTATGTACACATTGTGCAAAGTCATATATAAATACAGATTTATCACCCCAATTAACAACTATTAAATACAACTATAGAAGGAAAATTGAGATCCTATTCTACTCCTTAACTCCATACTATGACATCATTTATTTATGTTAGGAAATTCCTTATCACTTAACTTCATGGAAATAGTACTTTATGGAGAAGGTTTCTCTTCATATGTTTGTTTTCTGAAACTGAAGGCCGTCAGTTCCTAATTTAATAGAGAGACGAAACTACTAAGCATTCCATGGATTCACCGTGCGGGTGCCGGGTCCATCGCGTTGCAGGGAGAGGAGCTTCAACAGTGCCTGGGACTTGCGACCCAAGTGTAGGTTTAAGGGGCCCCTTAACTAACGCGCGTTATACGCTCACCTCCACTGTCCAAGCTCCTCTCCCTACCAAACCAAATTTGAAAAGAACCTACTAGGGCTGCCTTCGATATACGTTCCAAGAATGCATTAATGTGAGTTCTGGACAAGCCCAAGGTATTGGTATATAGAATACGAAATAATTTGAAGACACGAAATAATTTTACTAACGTTTCGAGTCAAGGCATGATAGTTTAGTTGGTAGAGTAACTGGAACTCATTCTGTTTGTGGTTGTCAGTTCGAATTCGTTTTGTGTATGACTTTTTCATTTACGTTTTTTATTTCATTTAAATTTAATAATTAGCTAAACATTTAGTCTCAAAAATGTAATAGTATGCATCAGTATTTAGTTTGCAGAAAGACATTCTTATTATGGGTCATGTACAAATTTTGACTAATATAAATTATTTTGGTTTGGGTGTTTTTTTTTTTTGTTATAGACAAAGATTAATTATATTGTCGTTACTTTGCTGTTTCCCGGACTACGAAAAACATATAATTTATCATTATTACTAAGACAAAAACGTTATTTATTATCAATAAAAAAATCTTATTATACAAAGAGAGATTTAAAAAAATATATCGACCAATCGCGTCATCACACTTGGCTTATTAATGCATTTATTAAACAAATTTATTGTTTAATAATAATTATTCTTGTTTTTATTTTTGAAAGTTGCAGACCTTATTCAGCTGTCGTTATCTCATTGTTTATAGCATCACGTAAGCTTACTTGATGTTAAATCGTTTAATTTTTAAATTATAATAATAATGTTTTAATAAGTATATAGATTTGTAGATTATAATTTTTCTAACTATTTTATTCTATCGAAAGAAGTATGTATATTTTATTTATACAATAAAGTGTTTTTTTGTATTCAAATCGAACAAATACGTGACGCATATACAGAAGATGATTGGAATATTGAAATGTTCACATCGTATCTTGAGATAAACTGTTTTATTAATACATCAGAAATATACATATTTAAAATAAGTTTTATGAAAAATTTATTAGACGTTAAATTTTATAGTAATTCTACCGTGATAAAAATATTATACAGGGTGACTGGTGAATTACTATCAATATTTAAGGAGCATACTCGGTACATGATTCTCATTCGAATTATGTAAAAAAAATAGGTACTTAATTTTTGACCAAATTTCCGTATAAATAAATAAAGTGTTGACAAGTTCCAAGTGTTCCAAGTGTGGACGCGTGCGGCGGCGTGGTGTTGTATCAGCACCACGCCGCCGCACGCGTATTTGTGTGTGTGTGTGTGTGTGTATACCTAATCTGTGGGGTGTTCACACGATGCGTAATTAATTACATAACTTTTGGTTAACTTTACTTAGAAGTTTATTAATATTTATGTTATATTAATTTTTATTTTGTCATATATGATCGTCAAATATCACGTCCTCATGTATCGATAGTAATTCACCAGTCACCCTGTATATTTAAAAATATGGATAATAAGAGTGCTTTTTTATATTATTACAATCACCAATGATTTCTATACTAACATTTGATTGATATACTAGTATGTAATGCAAGACATGTATTGCTGATTGCGGCTGCATAGTATCTGAACCGTGAATTTGGAATTGCGATAGTTGATGACTGTTTACTGGCATTGTCTAGTCTTTATGAAGTGCATTTTATGTTTTCACATTCGGCCTAAATAAATTTTCGATAATAAAACTGACTGAATCCGATATAAATTTAAATAGACACTGTTATTACAGCTTGACGTTGTTTTTAAAATTTATATTCTTTCATTGGACTTACATATTTTTTATTGACATTAATTAAACATACAATAATTTAGAATCGCGTATTATAATATTTTAAAAGATATTCAAATGATTTTTTACACCAATCATATCTAATATCAAAATTTAAGTCCTATGGACTAATGTACACGGAATTTCCATGCTTTTATGAAATTTGTTATTTTGAATGAATATTGCTGATGTGTAGTGGTTATTCTAAAATAAATACGCTAAATCTGAAACATAAATATCACAAATCCTTTCAATATTTACTCGATCTTTTCAAATTATCAATATTATAACTTGTACAGCTCTCAACTATTTATAGTTGTTTACAAGAAGACCCACTTCCAACTAGATATAACAGTTACTGAATGCATTTCATCGGCTATGAACTATTTCCTTTATCTGTAGAGAAACTTTCAACTGCGTACTTAAAATAGAAAGTGTTTGTATCCAGAATACTCCTATTTCTAATAATAATGATGCAAATGCAATAGTTTTGGAGGAAAGATTCATCGCTTTTACAACGAGAAGCATTCTATTTATAAATGCGGAGGTCTGTGAGGTTTGTTGTTATTTCACGCAAAAAGTACTGAACAGATTTTGATGAATGTACACAGTAATGTTGCTAAGACATCAAAATGAGGCTAGGCTATATATCTTTGAATTCAGTGTAGTTTTCGCGGATCAAGCGACAAGCTATAGACGGCATTGCGCCCTTTTGTTGTTAAGTTCACACATTTTCCTTTTGGACCCAATATAGAAGTATGTATATATATTATCTATAAGATTCATATAAAATCATATGTTTAATTCAAAAAAATCATAGTCATCCCTATAATACATAGATATAAATCGTTTTTTTTTACAAATAATATACATTTCTATATATTTCAATGTATTTTTATTTTTTCTCTTCACGAATATATAACAGGTGTTTTGAAACCATTTCGTTATTCTGTATACAAGTCAACAAAAGTACAATGCACTCTCGTAACGGGAATGACCCCTTAACATTCTTTTTTTTTATTCATTTTGGCCATTTTATAGGTCGTTGGACTCGTTAGGGCATTGCGGTGTTTGTTTAATACGATTTCGATTTAAATTGCAATATTAAAAAAATATATATATTTGTTTATCAAAATTTTGATTGTTCGTGTATTACAAATAGTATTTATGTGATATAATACACTTTACTATTTTATTCATAATTGCAAATTGCATGTAATAAATTGCTAGTGTGTCATTACGATCTGTAACACAAGCAATTCACGAGGTTCTCACTCACGTGTATAGAAAATGTTGATCAATGTGATAAATATGGTATGACGTCATAATGTTTCTGCCTTATTGGTCGCGTGTTACGTTGTTACAACTAAACTGTTCTTGTATTAAATTATGATAATATATTTATTTGTTGTTCTTGGTTTATAATAATTTGTAATGAATTTTTAATGATATGATTTTTTTAACATATATACCTATAATATTGTCGACTTTTTCTCGTAAAATAAATATATTTGTTTATATCACTTTTATTATCTGCCATATATACAAAATTGATGATAATTAGTTAGTTTATAAATTATTGCATTCTTGTTTATATTTTGTTTTATAGAATAACTATGATGAAACATTTCCAGATTATAAGAAAAAATAAAACCGTTCAGAAAGTCGAACAACGATAACATTTCGCTAATATATTGTATTTCCATACACAAATATTGTGAGAACATTATTTCTCGTATATGTCGCGGATAGTTTAATAAATTTGGGATATTTGGAAAGTTTCCAATGTCACCAGTAATTTATGTTATTACTCATATCAGAATATACTGTGACAGGAAACAAACACTCTCATATTAAGTAGATAAACTAATTTAGATAGTTTTACAAGTGAATGTTTTTCTTAAAAAGTTATGAGCTTTTTGATCGCGATTGAAGTGAGGTTTTCCTCTCAAAGTTAACTCTCTGAGTATTTATCTGTATTTGTAAAACTGACGTAAAACAATCTAAATATCCATAAAACTATTTTTTCTGACAGTATTGAACCAATCAAGAAATAATTTTTAATACAATTTTCAGCCGAGTTACATTCTAAGAAAGAAATGGCCATACAAATATTAACGACCTTTGCCAAAAGAAAATGTTTTGTAATATCTTGTGTACGACCACATAAAGTCACATTTAAGTTTATATGTTACGAGTGTTGTATAATTTTATGATGTATTGTGAATTATTTGGTTAATAAAATAAATAAAAGACGCATCAGTATATATGGAGTATGGAATATTTCACTCAATATATGCAATTTTAATTCCATTCAACGTTTAAATGACTGACGATAAAGTAACAAAAAATATTCATTGTATTTTTAATATTAGATACTGGATAAAAATCACGTAAATACAATCTCCAATATGTACCAACTCTATGTATGAGATATCCTTATATAAAATCATATTAAATATATGGTAAGCTATAAATTTAATTTACTTACTATTAAATGAGTTCCAGATAAAGTGTAAGGTTCAATGATCACAGTGCATATAATAATATTGTACTCAGTCGTGATCAACAATGTCTCTATCGTGACATATAATGTAATTGAAGTTATCAGTCTATAGTTATTATGAAAATTATGTCATGCGAATTAAAATCTTCTTTTTAATATATAAATATACATAGGAACAAGATCAGAAATAGACTTTTTTTAAATAATATTGTATACAATTTCACTATTAATATATTAAATGTACACGAAACTAAAAACAATTTTATATTAATAACTTTTAACTATCTCGATTTAAACGGGTCGTAAAATGAAATCTTCTATCTTGTCATATTCCTACTATATGTAACATATATATATGGGCTTGTATGATATCTATATATATAAAAGAATTGCTGTTCGTTAGTCTCACTAAAACTCGTGAACCGCTGAACGGATTTATCTTATCTTAGTCTTGAAATGTTCGTGGAGATTCAGGGAAAGTTTAAAATCTGAAAAGAATTGAATCATTTCCGGGAAAACCCTAAAAATAAGGCTTTTCTATTTCCCATACAAACGTTTTTTTGACATTAGATTTGACAACTAACTAATATGTCAATCATTCTGTCACACTTCAGAACACGGAAATTTATGGCTTAAAGGTCAACTCCAAAAAAGTAAATAAGAAATTATTTATTTCTCGATTGAGGCAGTACGAAGTCTGCCGGGTCAGCTAGTATTTTATCATATCTATATATATAAAAGAAAGTCGTGTTAGTTACTCCACTTATAACTCAAGAATGGCTGAACCCATTTAGCTGAAAATTGGCAGGGAGGTAGGTAGTTTAGAGCCAGGAAAATGCAATAGGATACTTTTTATCCCGTTCGACAGCATTCCCGTGGGACTTGACATGAAACGTCAGTCACTATAATACGTGGAATAACGAAACACAATTGACAGCTATGCAATTGACGTATAATGACAGATATGTAATGACGTAATGATGACAATTAGATATTTGTAAGAGATCTACTATATAAAAATATGTCCGGTTTTCCATCCTGACACTATAAATTCAGAATTAACGAACCAATTTCCACGGTTTTGCATTCGTTGGAAAGGCTCCGTGCGGTTTATAACAAAAAATTTCAACAGAAAAGCGAGAAATATTTTTTCACATTCAGCGCCATCATACATAACATGTACTACAAATCAATATTTAAGTTGATGGCGCCGGTGCATGATACATTGTTTGACAGCTACTCATTGTTCTCTGCTCAGTTAATTTCATGTGACAAACCGGTATTGTGTTTGTAGTTTGAACTCTTAAAACCATTCAGAATTTGCGGGATAAATTCAGAAAATCATTGTTTTTCACATGGGCGTTTTGTGTGTTCACGAGTTTGGAAACCATCCGCTTTATTTGTGTTAAAGTTAGACAAAAAACAAAAAATGTAGTTTACAAAGGACCAATTCAATGAAACGGATAATTTGCGGACACGTATAACGCTTCGATTCGGTATCTACTTTGGATTCACTTTCATTTACTTAGAGAAGTTCAACTAAATAACACTGCATTTTTGTAAACGAAATAATTTCATTACTGTTGTGAAATGAAATAAAAATTTTTCAAATCACCAAACGAAATGTTATATAAAAGCCTTCTGGTGGGAAAACGGAGTTCGGCGGGTTTACTAGTATATATACATATATATTTCCCATGTTATATTTCAGGATAGAGTTCTCAACATCACTAGTCAGATAATGGACCAAGTTCTCGGAGATGAGAGAGTCGCTCGCGGCTTCCGTGTCAAATTCCCAGAGGACGTACTACAGGATAATCTGGCTGGTCAGCTGTGGTTTGGGGCTGAGGTACTTAGATATATATATATTTAGTATTATATATATTATGAAGCACTTTGTTGTTGTTCAAAGTGTTAGTGAAGTAAAAAATCTAGATTAAAATTAGTTTTAATTAAGTAAGTCGTCTGTTTTTGTATTCTATATCCAAATTTCAAATTAAAAATCATATCATTAGAAAGTGACGTTCCACTGTAGGTATTAAATCTAATTTTATCTTAATATGACGTAAAAATCTATAAAAATTTTATCTAGTGCCTGGCAGCTGGTTCGTCTATAATGAATAGGGAGGAAGAGTCGGCAGCTATGAGACCGTTGGCTAAGGCTTTGACCAGAAGTCTTGAAACTGTGAGATCGTTACTCAGAGAACAATGTCTCCGCCCGCGTGGTCTGGCCCTACAAGATCATGACGACATGCTCCACGAGAGTTTGAGGATATTTGATAGGTGAGTTAGTTAGTATATACAGGGTGACTGGTGAATTACTATCGATACTTGAGGACGTGATATTTGACGATCATATATGACAAAATAAAAATTAATATAACATAAATATTAATAAACTTCTAAGTAAAGTTAACCAAAAATTATGTAATTAATTACGCATCGTGTGAACACCCTACAGATTGTATACACTCACACACACACACGCGTGTGCGGCGGCGTGGTCTTGTATCAGCACGCCGCCGCACGCGTCCACACTTGGAACACTTGGAACGTGTCCACACTTCATTTATTTATACGGAAATTTGGTCAAAAATTAAGTACCTATTTTTTTTACATAATTCGAATGAGAATCATGTACCGAGTATTCTCCTTAAATATTGATAGTAATTCACCAGTCACACTGTATAGTGGTTCAAGGGCCCGCCTTTCATGAATGAAGGTGCGGGTTCGATCCTGGCAAGTACCAATGTGATTTTTCCGAGTCATATGTACTTTTTAAGAGTATTTTGAAGATTGAACTAATACTGGATACTGTTTTAGCGTTATATTTTTTGTGTTGAAATTAGTTTAGAAACTTAATATATTTTAATACTAATAAATAATTTAGCAAGAAATTCTTTATCGATCATTTATTTTTTCTTAGTCACACTATCACAAGAGTTTTTTGGAATGTGTGAGCTAACAATTGGATTCTTATATTACGATCTGTACAACTTTATAAGGCGATAAAGTAAGCAAAAGTTTTATTAGTATTAAAAAACGCCAATTTTACAGATAAACATATTATATAGCTAAATATTTCAAAAGCCTTTCATTGAAATTGTGAACCATATGACATATTCCAGGCATTTTTTTACAAACAGCTGCCAAATACATAGTATTAGTCATTTGTTACTCATAATTAACGAAATTAATATATTTAAATTAATTCAAATGAATTCGTTGCGGCAGCGATATGTAGTTGAACAAAATAAATTATAGAATTTTATAAGTATTTCAATTTAACAATACAAGTACATAATAAAATGTTTACAATTGAAGTAATGTTTATGTATAGACACAATATGTTATTATTTTATAGTAATTTATACATTATATAAATGTGCACTAATGTTGCAATCCGACTTTGTTCACGTTTTCAATGTTTCGAGACTAATATTTTTAGTTTAATGAATTTTTCTTTACGATATCAAATATTTTCATTAACAATTCATATAACTATTTCATACACAATAAGTAGACATAAAACATACTCATACAATTATAAGTATCATTTATACAATGAGAATAAAAATTTAAATATATATAAAGGTTAATATACTTATAATAAACAGTAACAGAACTTGTTACCTTTGTTATTGTAACTTTATACTTAATGTATTTTTAGCAATACGCAGCCAATCCGTATAAAATTGAGCCGAATTAAGTATTTACTAGGGATTTTCGTTACTTAGTAATGATTTATCAGTAATAAGCTTGTAAGGATCATGAAACATTGTTTTTATATCAGCTTCCCTTGTGTTGTTATTGTTAAAATATATATAAAATATAATTTTCCTCCTCCAACCATTATTGTTACCACTTATGTTTATATATAAAAGAAAGTTGTGTTAGTTACACTATTTGTAACTCAAGCATGGCTTAAGGGTTATGCTGAAAATTGGTGGGGGAGTAGCTTAGAACCAGGATAAAGACATAGAATACTATGTATCTATGCAATCGGAAAAAAATGTATACAATCAAAACTCTTCTTATTTTCTGTTTTTAAGGAGGAATAGACTTCGCCCGGTAACCTGAGGTCCTCCTATATTTCCAATATTGAAAGTAACGCAGACGAAGTCGCGGACAAAATCTAGTTTTATACAATAATTTTAATTTAAGTCGTATTTGTTTACACCTTACGTATATTCGTTAAAATTATACTCAATTATTATCAGTATTGCATCGCTATTAAAATATCTGTTTGCTAATATTCTCATTTGGTGTAATTGTATTACTGAATTTCATTCTATAGTTTTTCTCCCAATACTATTTTCAGATTGTTCGCTGAATTCGAACTATGTTACGTGAGTGCGATGGTAAATGTCAAGACACCACACGAGTTTGAGGCCCAGCAGTTGATATGTGTCTTGTTCTCTGAGAGTCTAAGACGAGCTCTCAAACAGAGTCTGCTTACACAAGAACAGGTAATATGTTATAGACTTTACAAGCTAGTCTAGACTGAGTAGTATTTTCTAATACGATGTAGAAATTTTGTGAACAGATACGAGTTTTTGTCTACTAGTCTAGCTATTATTATATTAGACTTGGTATTGGCATATTTACATTTAATTTATAAAATAGAAGTCAGATTTTTTTTACAAACTTAATTCTTTGATTTTTTTTAGTATAATAATATGTTAAAACAATATACTCTTATATTTTCAGGTGGATTCATATGACCCAGCGCTAATGTTCGCTGTTCCACGTCTCGCCATAGTTAGCGGTCTCTTGATATATTCTAGCGGACCTCTCAGTATAGACAAACCACCTGGTGAGTGTGTATGTGTGCTCTATGTGTGTGTGTGCTCTATGTGTGTGTGAGCTCTATTTGTGTGTATGTGTGTGCGTGTGCGTGTGTGTGTGTGTGGTTTAATGAACTCACTACAGATATTTTCCGCTATGGTTACCTTTGTATGTAATTTTATAATACGAGTCAATGTTTGTATTCATATTTGTTTAAAAACATACGGCCGTAGATGATCTTTTATTTATTTTGTGTTAGGTAAAGCACTATATCCTTTGTGTTTATACTATGTTTGATCACTTGTGATCACTTCTATTTTATGTTATATATTATACTATAGAAATATATGACAACTAACTTATACTATGTATATCTTTACAGAGGAGATGTCCGACATGTTCCGTCCCTTTCGCACCCTTCTTCATAAAATTCGTTCTCTCCTCTGGACATTGGATCGACGGGAACTACTCGTACTTGAACGATTGTTATGTACTAACGAAGACGTTTCCAGTCTCGCAGGGCTTGATATACCCGGTTAGTATTTGTGTCCTATATAATGTTACGTCCAATGAAACACGATTAATATTATAAACAAACTTTCTAAATTGAGAACAGCCCAAAAATCTTAATACATTTGCATTTCTCTATTGTCTATTTGTTAAGAGTGCTGTCCTTAAAGTTACAGTATTGAAAGTTTGTTTACATTTAATATCATTTTTCGTTGTTATATCTGTATATAATAGTTCAAACTAATTGAGCCTTTATATTTCGATTTTCTTGGGTTTATGGTTGTTAGTAATAATGTTTTATTTATATTCTAGCTGATGATTCAACGGCTGATTCATGTTATCCTGATATTGGCGAGTTCGTGTCTAAATTCTACGCGGATAACGTGCACTGCCGGGATCTGTACACCCAGAGGTAATATATTGAACTGTATATAATACACGTCAAGTTATATATTCATATATATACAGTGGACCCCCGGTAATCCGGCCCCTGTAATCAAACATGATCTATTATTTATTATTGAATACATATTTTGTATTCGCTAATGCATGATTGAACAAGTTACAACTTGTACGCACCATCACTATTTTGCTCGACGCGTAGGGTATTGTTTTGATTCTGATTGCTTAGTTGGAATTTGAATATGTACCTCAGAGTACATATAAGTACATTTATTTATTTACATATCTTTATATATATAATTCTTCTGTGAGTGTGTATGTCACTGAACTTATATCAAACGACTGGACCGATTTTTATGAAATTTTTTGTGTGTGTTCAAGAGGATCTGGAAATGGTTTAGATTCACAATTTTGTCCCCTGGACAAAGTTTTTTAGTTAATTTTTAATTTATTAGTAGTTGTTGATACAAACGTTTATTTTGACATTAGATTTGCCAACTAACTAATATGTCAATCATTCTGTCGCACTTCAAAACACGGAGATTTATGGCTTTAATAGGTAAACTCCAAAAATATAAATAAAAAAACGTAACAGATATTTCTTGATTATAGGGCGATATGAAGTTCGCCGGGTCTTCTAGTTTATATATTAAATAATATGTAAATAATCTTATCATTGAATCTGTAATTTGTCGGATTACAAGGTACTCTTTTGTAAAAAAATCCGGACTATAGGGTGTCTTAGGCAGTACTCTATAATCCGACGAATTCGATAGTTCGACACTGCCCTGCAAAATGTTTGTCGGACTACCGGGGGTCCACTGTATATATAAACTAATAGAGGCACTATGAGTTCAAGTCTTTTTTTTATATGATTAATATAGTTCATAAAAAATTGTCCTTGCCTTATTTTCTTACTTATTTTTTTTTGTCTTAAATTTCAGTTCAAGCGAGCATTTGATAACAGACGCCGATTACCTTCCCGACAACATAGAGGTCATGACTCCGATCATTGAAGGACTGAAACGTCTCACAGAGGACATCGATGAATCTGAACGAGAATCCATCGATATCGACAATAAACTTACAGATAAGGACAGCACTAGCACTGATACATTCCAATCAACCGAGAGCAAGGAATTTGATAAAATGCGGAAGATAAGTAGGGCGGAAAGTGATTTATCGTCGCTGAGAAATCTATCGACAAATGGTCTCATGATGTTCGATCCGTTGGTTATAAATGCGGTGTCAGCATCGACATCAGATCGACAAATCCCGGACCAAGATTTAGTCACATCACTAAACGAGCAAGTCACTGAAATAGCGGATAGATTATCATCAATAGTTAGTGACGTGGATATACACGATCACCAAATACATTCGTTTTCAACCAACGATGTACCATCTCTGATATCGAATGAGAATTCTGAAGATTTCGGGTTTAGTGGTCCAAGGAATGAACAATTAAGTTGTATGCCATCTACTAGTCATGGTTATTTGATACCAAACGCTATAAGTCAAGAGCCCGTAGTACTAGCGTCGCTATCACACAATAACTCCGCTGTGTTCAACCAAGACGAGAACAATGATATTAACGGTGCAATACTGAATTCTGATCTCCCATTAATACTAACCGATAATATTGACGCTGATATTGTAAATACTAATATATCAATAGCTAACGTGAATCTTAGTTCACTGTTGTTGACGAACGAGGAATTCAGACAGAATTTTATAGAAAACGAAAATGATGGTGATAATACAAGCTTCCATTCAGCAAAAATGACGATGGATAAAGACGAAAGGGTGAAATTCATGCTCGGCTACGATAGTGATCACGAATCACCTGTAGATTCAGGTGTTAGTACTGAAAATACAAGCTTAGATAGATCACCCGATACGGACCAGAATAAAGATATCAAATCAAACTATTTCATGCAACAGAACAGGGTATTAAAAAGTCCGACAGACGAGCGGATACAGAAAGAAAACGTTCTAGAAAGTTCCTTCTCCGATGTAAGAGATGATGTAAATATAAATTACGTTGAAGATGACTCACAGAAGAATGAAGCGTCGTCTAGCGTTATAGATAGGTTGAGCGACGACGGACTAAACGAAGCTACTAATGTTAATGTACAGAATTGGAACACAAATGAACCACAAGAAGATATAAGGACCATAGAGGATGTTATAACAGGACTAAGAAGACATAGAGAAGCTGATAAGAAGAATACGTTAGAAGGAACCAACGAACCGAACTGTTCAACAAGCACGAGACGGAAAAGGAAGTCGAGCACCAAAAAGAAAAAGAAAAAAATGTGGTCGCCCGGCATCGTTATACTCGATAATAGATCTAACCAAAACCAAAGTCCTTTAAGATTGAACCTGGATCACTTTGTCGAGAAGTAAGTTCTGATATACATTTTATTCATGTATTCAATACTAAACAGTTACGCTTGTGGAATATAGAAAGGAATTAATGGTTTTATACAGCGAAGTCTCATTAGTCATCCATTGTTGATTAAATTTATGTAATTTACAAGCAATTCAAACGTTAATTATAGAAATATCGTCATCCACTTTAATATTGACTTGTTATATTAACTCATTTCTTTGATCTTCTCTCTCTCTCTTTCATCATCCGTTTCGTTCTATTTCATTATTTTTTTAATCTTCCCTCTCCCTCTCTCTCCAGTACATCTTGCAGTACGTCCGAGTGCGCTGACGACGAGCAGATCGCCCTCGCGCTTCAAGCACAGGAACTAGCAGCAAGAAGACGGGCCAGGGATAAGTTCAAGTTAGTATTAGTTCATACACTTATACACATACATACACATATTTCTCCTCGGTAGAAGTGAGTGCGAGAGGTATAACAGCTAAATCTATCTACAACCTGCTAAAAGACTTGGGCCTGTCCAGAACTTACATTAATACATTCTTGGAACGTACTTCGAAGGCAGCCCTAGTAGGCTCTTTGGAAATTTGGTTAGGTAGGGAGAGGAGCTTGGAAGGTGGAGGTGAACGTTTAAAGCGCGTTAGATAGGGGTCCCTTAAACCTACACTTGGGTCGCAAGTCCCAGGCACTGTTGAAGCTCCACTCTCTGCGACGCGATGGATCCGGCACCCGCACGGTGAATACATGGAATGCTGAGAAGTTTCGGCTAAACCCACAAAAAAAATATATTGTCACAAGCAAATTTGGATATATTAAATCAATTTATTTATATATGTCGTCAAATATTATTTTTGTGACATATGACCATGGATAAAGATAAGTCGTAAATTGTGGATGTAGGAGGCCAATAGCAAATTTTTATACATAGACACACATTAAACATGTCAAACAAAATAAAATGTATGTTTAAAGTGTGACAAGTAAAAGAGTGTTCGTATTGACTATCTTACTAAGTATTTTCTAATATAAGGCTACATACACATATATACATATCTCATAATTCTCTAACCATAGGTGTTCATTCCTTGAACTTGCACTCACACATTTACAGTATACAACTCCAACAAATTGAAATAACACAAAAAATATATGTATATATATTTGTGAAATATATGAGCGTGTAAATTTAAGACATCCAAGTATATTATTACTTGTGAAAATATTAATATTAAGTATATGTGAGTTGATAATATTTTTTTATAATATTTCTGAAAATACCAGTGAAAATGTGAAGCTAGGGCAGGCTTGAGTTTAGACTTTAGAGTTTGAACTTGTATAGTCCGTTAGACTTAAGCTGAGCTTTGCATTTGTGTGAGTGAAAGTAAAAATAGAGTTACACAAAAAACTTTTAGAATTAAATTTCATTATATTTTAAATAGATACATAACATAACTGCTATAAAATAATCAAAACTTGTAAAAGTCCAGATGGAAATATTATGAATATTATGGAAAAAAAATATTGATTAATAAGCATTTTGAAAAAACTACAAATTCTTATTCACTTGACATTACGTTTTCAACATTTGATATTGCTACCAGTACAAAAAGTGAAGGGAGGAAGGTGCGGGGCGAAGTAAAAGCAGTACAAACCGTTTAAAACTAGAAAATAACGTTTCATTAAAAAATTTGACATTGCACCTACACTATCCGTGTGCACTCACACAAATGCAAAGTTCAACTTAAATCAAACGCACTATACCAACCCTTATATAAGTTTCTATTAGATTTATAAGCCATCAAAATGATATTATTTATTAATGACGTAACACAGTTGATATTTATCTAATATATCTTTAAATATAATTTCCAGGTCATCCGAGGATCTCATACATCGTCTGTTCGTATGTATAGCCGGGGTCGCTGACCAGTTGCAGACTAACTTCGCAGCTGATCTACGCAATATATTGAAGGCTGTCTTCCTCATGAACCAAACGGCGGAAGTACCGGAAAGCATAGAATATCAGGCTGGCGAGGATCAGGTCATACAGAACGGTATGCTAACACTAGTTTTTACCCTCGACTTGGTTCGTAAAGACTTCAGAATTGTGTCATAACTATAATATGTATGTTTATTAGTCAACAGCGACATCTATCAACTGTGTCACGCGATTTCATACGAAGTATTATGTTATGCTGTTAAATAGAAAAAAATATATTCGTTTTGGGACGAATTATAGGCTATATCTTATTCTGATGACTAAGCTTACAACACTGTAATAATTCATTTAAACCCGTTAAATATTTTATGCATTATAGAGCAACAAACATATCGACATATATAAAGGTATTAAATCCAATATTATTATTAATCCTAAATTCTAGGAAGTTCGTTCGACAGCGTTTATTCGGCTGAGGAGGTGTACGCGGACAGTAACTCCGACTCTACATCAGAGCCATCTAGAGTCGCGCGACGTAACACAGTCAACTCTACTATGAACGAGCCCAATGTTAGCGATAGACGTAAATCAGCTGATACTATGCAAGCCTCTGTGTCAACGGGAGATCTAACATATAGGTTTGTGGACTACTGGTTTTTAATCGACTTCAAATAAAATGTGTTGTGTGTTTTATATATGTTTGTGTGTGTATTCAATTAGGTTCATATATAGATGCAGTTTATAAGTATCTGAGAAGGTCATTCATTTAGTTTTAAATATGTGTCAAGTTAAAATGAAATGATAAAATTTTATGATTTCTACCTTAAATCAAATAATAAACAAAAAATAATACGAAAGTAACATATAGAATAAGAAATCTCATTGAAGACATGTCGTATGAGTTAGTTTCTAATATATAATGTTGTATGTATCAGGGATGATACGTCTTCATCATCAGTAGTGGAGCGAGCCCCAGAGTGGGTCCCTGATATAGCGGCGCCCGCCTGTATGAGATGCTCCTCACACTTCACGGCCTTCAGGCGCAGGCATCACTGTAGGAACTGTGGTGAGTATCCCTCTATGTGTGTGTGAGTGTGTATGTGTGTGTGAATGTGTGCTTGTATATGTATGTGTGTTTGTACGAGTTCAGTAGGCGTCTATTTGCGCCAAGTAGCAACTATGTTCATAATAGATATGTATATATATGTGTGTGTGTGTGTGTAAGTTGATGTATTAGTGCACATGTAAATGCATGCATTGGAGTCCATTTGATTGTGTTTGTATGTAAATGCGTGCTTGAATGTGTGTGTATAAGCATGTTCGTGTCTTTATTTTAGTGCATTTGTGTAAAACTGCTTTCAAGAGTATTTATGTGTGCGTGACTAGATACATTTGTGTGTTTGTGTGTGTATGTGTGTGAGTTTAATATTTTTTTTAATTACTAATATAAAATAATTAATATTGCGACATGTGTTTCTATCAGGTAAAGTCTTCTGTGCTTCGTGCAGCTCAAATTCAATACCATTACCGAGATTTGGTCAGTTGAAGCCGGTGCGTGTGTGTGAGGAGTGCTATCAGACCAACTGCGGGAGACAGACGAATCGGTGAAAATGTCATTGGAAAATATACCTTGCATTATACGAAATAAAGTTGGCTTTTAAAAAATATTTTAACAGATGTAATTTTATTGTGAGATATATAAAATAGAAAGTTTTTAAACTATTTTAATAAATAATAGACTTTATTTCGTTATATTAAGGTTTATTTTCTGAAATACTTTAATCGATCGCTCACAATTTCTAACATCACGTTATTGTTGAGAATTTTGTGTGTTAAATGTTACTGTATAGTTGAGGAAACAATAAAAAATATATTTCTTAGTTACTTTGAATTGAAAAATGTCCTAACTTTAAAAAGCGGCAGTGTTTGTGAAAACTGTGTATGGGCACAGTTTTCAATATACTGAATATTTAAAAATTACATTACATTTAAAAATTCATATATCCAGTATTGCCACGCTAAAACGAGAAATGTCCCTAAAATATAATATTACCTATAATTAATTTGTGATATTTGTATGTTATTCCACAACTAACCCGCCCTAGATGACTATTAAGTACTGAAATGTAAAATTCCATTTTTGACTGATGTTATAAGCGAGTTATTTTTTTGTTTTGTTTTTGATAGGTAGCTCTCTATACGCTAGATGTCGCTACATTATTTGATATTTTTGTAAATGGCGTAACTAATAAAAATTGACTCAGCAACTATTATATATTCATAAAACATTTAGTATATAAAGTTTATATCAGATGCAATATATTGTATGCAGAGTTATATATATATTAATAAATAACATTTTTCATGTATAGATATGTTTTGTAATAAAATTTAATTATTCGCAGAACATTTTAAACGATATTATAAACTATGTATATTAATGTTAAGTAGTTATGTTCAAATAGTGTCTATTTTTAAGAGTACGTTGAAATGATGTTTATATTTTTTAAAATAATTAATCAGCGTTGATGTAACAGAAGATTCCATACTTTTATAACATTAGTATAGTATGTATAGATATTTTGTAAAGGTTAATTATTAATTTCTACCAATATATATGTCTTGGATTTTCCTTTTTGTATGTAATTTCTATGTTTGATGAGACCACAACGTCTAAGTGATATAATGATACTGTTATATATTTTAATCGTGTAAAATAAATGTCGGTTTTATTATTAGATAAAGTATGTTTTATTTCACTGTTTTTAAATTGACTTTATAGAAAATTCAATAAAATGACAAAATTATAAACATATCTTTTCAGTCAGTAAAATTATTCCCCAGACTGATTATCCGATTTGATGTGTAAGAAAAATATTTCAATTATTTTGTAGTCTATACACACGTTATGTGTGCATAACTGTGTGCTGTAATTGCACAAAGCAAGTTTGCTCACACTGTATTAGGTCTATAGTAATGTTTTTTTCCATCTTCTTGAACATAAACAGTTCTGATTTTTAATTTGTTTAAAAAATTCTATTTAGATTTGTGTTTTTAAGTGGTTCCGTTAATTTTTTAGTTTACATAGTGTCTATGTGATTTATGACTTCGTATGAATTGTACCAACAATTATTGTATTTCGTAAACCTTACAAGAATGAAACTAATATTTTGAGGATATACTACGTGACTTTAATAATAGTACTTACTTTAGTCAGTGGTGGCCTAGTGGCAAGTACCAATGTGGTTTTACCGAGTCATATATACAGGGTGACTGGTGAATTACTATCGATACTTGAGGACGTGATATTTGACGATCATATATGACAAAATAAAAATTAATATAACATAAATATTAATAAACTTGTAAGTAAAGTGAACCTAAAGTTATGTAATTAATTGCGCATCGTGTGAACACCCTACAGATTAGGTATACACTCACACTCACACATACGCGGACGCGGCGTAGTGTTGTATCAGCACGCCGCCGCACGCGTCCACACTAGGAACACTTGGAACGTGTCAACACTTTATTTATTTATACGGAAATTTTGTCAAAAATTAAGTGCCTATTTTTTTTACATAATTCGAATGAGAATCATGTACCGAGTATTCTCCTTAAATATTGATAGTAATTCACCAGTCACCCTGTATAGACTAAGAGTATTTATACAGCACTAATTAATGCATTCCCAAAGAGGGTTGATGTCAGGCAGTCGTAAAAACAATTAGCCAAAACTATTCACAACATGTAAGGCAGACCCTGGCTAAAGCTAGGAAATTGCCAGGAAGAAGTAGAAGTAGAAGAAGTTTAATAATAATACTTACCTATATACGCAAACTAATTAAAAACAATGTTGTTAAAATTTTTCACTATTATTAAACAGAATATTGCAAAAATGTATAGATTTTTTCAAATACTTATGGACCTTTTTGGCACCCACTTCACAGATAATACGTGAAATTTAATTCTCCTCAGTAAGCTAAGTTTTAACTTCATTTCATAACAAACTTTATCATGTTCAAATTAAAATAATTGTCTAATATAATGACTGCTAGTTTTTATTCGTGATTTGGTCCACTTTTAATTCGGTATTATTTCAATGAGAAATGAACATGTGTTCTTGGTATAATTTACATAGAAACGTATTGTCAGCGACACTTATCGTGTGTTTCGCGTAAATTCATACTACATGCAACTGGTAAGTAATTTTTCTGAGGGATGTAAGTGTAATATAATTAGTGGTCTGATGTCCAAGTTCCGTTATTGAATAGTTTTATCAAAATATCTTCAGCATATTTTACGCGAAAAAGCGACAAACACACATCCATACATCTTCACAAACGTTTGCTTTGAGAATATGAATGGAATTGTTATTTTTATTTGAAAATACAGAAAACAAATGAATTAAAAGAAATCTTATTTCCAATGGGATGAATAAACGGTACTAATATCATAATGTTTACAGATCGACTACCCTTTAATAATGAAGTACTCCATTCCATAGATTGTTAATCAACAACGCATTCGTTTCGCTTAATACAAAAAAGATAGTTAAATACACATTGTCAATTTTATATTTTCCTTCAAATTTTGATCTCAATAGTTTTGATACGAAACATGATTTGTGTTGTATCAAGGAAATCCATAAAGTTCTGTTACAAATGAAAATGCATTTTTTTTATCTAGTAAATTATAAAATTTTGTACCTATATATTTATTAGTCTCAGCATAAATATTTACGTATATTCTATTCGAAATTGTCACCATTGACTTTTATACAGGGCTTAATCTGATTGGTTTAAAGTAACTATAATATTAAGACCGAATGATTAAAGTCTGGGCTAAATGAGGGAAACTCTTCAGTACTTTTAAAGTCTGGAAAGTTCATTTCAAGTCAATTTTGGGTAGTTCTTGTCTAATGACTTGCTACAAGGTCCCCTGGAAAGTTCACGGTGTATTGTTAAAAACTGTATTGCTGAGAGGCTTCATGACATGATCCACGATTATATCTTGAGACTCTTTGGTTGTAGTTTTCAATATTTTTCACCAAAATGTAGTTTTGTGACTCTTTGATCCCCATCCCCATCAAACCGTCACTGACGCAAGATGTTGTTGTGTTTTTTTCTATCACTTAAACAAATTCTTTAGAACTCTAATCGTACGAAAATTGTCATCAGTAAGGAGATATACAAACCACACAAGAAAGTCAACCAATTCTTGAGACCCATTAAGTGTAATATTCTTTTAGAACAATCGGGTGTATATAAACTTGATTATGACTGAGGCTTGGTATACATTGGACTGGCAGAGAGGAGCCAGTACTAGGATCAAGGAACATTTCTTAGACGTTACAAATAGGTGTGCGTTGAAATTAGCAGTGTGTGAACACACAGTGGACAATCCAAGCTACTATATTCGGTTTGATAAGCCACAGTATACATATATACAAAATATTTAAACAGTTGACAAAAAGAGTTTTACTGTAACACTATTTAGTCTAGACTAGTTATTTCAGTTAATTTATTTATTAATAGTGTTATTGTGTTATGCTAATCTTATTTTTTCTGGTGGGTGCTAAAAATCTTAAATAATTTCTTTTAACCTACTACCAAATCTCATGTTAATATTTGCTTGTAGACAACCTTATTCTTTATTTAGCGAAACCGTGAGATAAGACGCAATTGATAAAAAAACGATAATTTTTAGTGAAATCTTTACAAAGATGATTGTCAGGTTGAGTTATATTCTGGTTTTATTTTTTTTAAGTTGTAAGTTATTTTATTTCTTCATTAGATTTTAAATATTACTTGACAATAATCTGCTTGAATAAAACGTATTATTTAAATATAAACGTGAAGTTTTCTAATAAAAAAATAGAAAACACATGTTAGGAGACGAAATTTTAAAAAATATTTAAATCAAACACTAGTTTAAAATTACACGTAAATCGGTTAGTAACTAAAAAAGAATGCATTAAAAATAACATAATATGTATAAGAGCAAATTAGACTAAACATTTTGCAATATTTTATGACTTTTTTAGTTCTTTTCAAAAAAAAATCACACCGTTTATTGATTAATACAAGTTAAATTGATAAATATGTTATTATATTTTCTTTGCTTATAGTTACTGAAGGTCAACGAAGAATTAGATACGGAAAAAAAGTAAACACCCCGAAAAGGTACTTCGTAAGTATTCACATATCCATACAATCCTAACATTTCTGTTTTTATTGAAACCAAAAAAAACCGTGGTCTATAAAGCTTTCTTTCTATATATACAAAAAATATCATAAATTTGTGTTTTAGACTAGGTGCATAAATACAAAACATATTTTTTGGGCTCAGTCTTTATAATTTTAACAATAATAAAATCTCATATTATTGTGTGCTAAACATTAAATTATGTTTAAACGAATGAACAGTTAACGTTTTGAATGATGACTAAAAAATTTATATGCTTCTCCTACCAAAAGAGTCTATAGTTTTCGTAAATTCAAGTGGCTATTCGGGACTATGCCTACATTTTAAATTATGTTTAAGACGTGATCTACTAACATAATGTCACACAACTCGGATGTAACTACATAGATTCAATTTTTATT